ATCTGCTCTACTGACTTTCTCAAGTGGTTCTATGACTTGTAATTTTGTGTGTGGTTCGTTTATCACCTAAGGGCGTCTCTTAAATAGTTTTGAAGATTTATTATTTGGTTGTTAAAGGTGTATATGTAATTTTGTGTGTGGTTTGTTTATCACCTAAAGGTGTCTCTTAAATAGTTTTGAAGATTTATTATTTGGTTGTTAAAGGTGTATTTGTAATTTTGTGTGTGGTTTGTTTATCACCTAAGGGTGTATCTTAAATAGTTTGAAGATTTATTACTTGGTTGTTAAAGGTGTATTTGTAATTTTGTGTGTGGTTTGTTTATCACCTAAGGGTGTCTCTTAAATAGTTTTGAAGATTTATTATTTGGTTGTTAAAGGTGTATATGTAATTTTGTGTGTGGTTCGTTTATCACCCAAGGGTGTCTCTTAAATAGTTTTGAAGATTTATTATTTGGTTGTTAAAGGTGTATATGAGTAAATAGTTTGTATTGCATGTATTGTGTATCCGCCATACTCCTACTATACGTACTACTGGACTTATGATATATTACAAATATTTTTGTTTGTTTGTAGTTAAGCACAAAGCTACACAATGGGCAATCTGTGCTGTGCCCACCACAAGTATAGAAATCCGGTTTCTAGTCTTATAAATCCGCAGACTTACCACTGTGTCACTGTATGTCGTTACAAATAGATTGCATGCCAGAAAAAGCTTTCCCTCCCAATATTACAGTAGTCGCCCTCTATTGGTTATAATTTTACTAGCTGGAGTACCCATACGTTGAACGAATGAAATAAAAACTCGTTTATAACAAAGGATAGAAAACTGTACTTCTATTTTATTTCTCTTAATATAATAAACATTAAAAGTGCAATAAAAATACATAAAGGTAACAATACTGAAAAGAAAGATATACCGTTTTCAAGAATTCTATCAATTGTGATTACATAGTTCATTCTAATGCTGAGGGATATACAACATTGGTAGTTTTTCTGAAATTAGATGGGAGGATCCAACCCTCCTCATGTCATTTTGTATCACTGCATCAAGTTGTGCTGAGTTGGTAGTTTTCCGAAATTAGATGGGATCGAACCTCCCAAGGGCCACCCCACCCCTTATGACCTTCCTTATACCATCCTGTACTGT